GAGGAGGAGGCGGAGGACGACGAGGAGGAGGAGCAGCAGGCCAGGAAGAGGCCCGGGCGGCGCAGCCCACGAGGGCGCCTGGTGCGGCAGTCCCTCTAGGCACGGGAGCGGGCAGATGCCGGGCCTGTCGCGGTGCAGCTGCAGCTGGACCTCCGGGCCGGGATCCGGGCCGCGTGCAGTGCCCGAGGAGGGAGGAGGAGGAGGAGGAGGAGGAGGAGGAGGAGGAGGAGGAGGGAGGAGGAGGAGGAGGAGGAGGAGGAGGAGGAGGGAGGAGGCGGAGGAGGAGGAGGAGGAGGGAGGAGGAAGGAGGAGGAGGAGGAGGAGGAGGAGGAGGAGGATGAGGAGGGCAGGGAAGAGGGAGGAGGAGAGGAGGAGAAGGAGGGGAAGGAAGAGGAGGAGGGAGGAGGAGGAGGAGGAGGAGGAGGAGGAGGAGGAGGAGAGGAGGAGGAGTGAGGAGGAGGAGGAGGAGGAGGAGGAGGAGGAGGAGGAGGAGGAGGAGGGAGGAGGGGAGGAGGAGGAGGAGGAGGGAGAAGAGGAGGAGGAGGCGGAGGAGGAGGAGGAGGAGGAGGGGAGGAGGAGGAGGGGAGGAGAGGAGAGGGAGAGGGAGGAGAGGGAGGAGAGGGAGGAAGAGGAGGAGAGGGAGGAGAGGGAGGAGAGGGAAGAGAGGGAAGAGAAGGGAGAGAGGGAGGAAGAGGGAGGAGAGGGAGGGAGGGAGGAGGAGGGAGGAGGGGAGGGGAGGAGGGAGGAGGGAGGAGGGAGGAGGGGAGGAGGAGGAGGAGAGGGAGGAGGAGGAGGAGGAGGAGGAGGCGCTCGTCGTGTCGTCGTCGTCGTCGTCGTCGTCGTCGTCGTCGTCGTCCTCGTCGTTGTCGGCGTCGGCGTCGGCGTCGGCGTCGGCGTCGGCGTCGGCGTCGGCGTCGGCGTCGGCGTCGGCGTCGGCGTCATCGTCGTCGTCGTCGTCGTCGTCGTCGTCGTCGTCGTCGTCGTCGTCGTCGTCGTCGTCGTCGTCGGGCGCCCCGCCGGGACAGCCGAAGGCCGCCGAGGCGGAGCAGTCGCCCAAGGCGCAGGCCGCCCGCCAGGGAGGGCGACGAGACGTGTGCACGGATGCTCCGCCGCTGGCCAGCGGCGGTGGACGTGCACAGTCGGCCCCGCCGGTGGCCTCCAGAGGGCCCCGAGATCGCCCACCCCACCATATCGCGAGGCGGGGATTTGTCCATGTCCACCGCCTGGGAACCGACGCCCTGGTGCCCCGGCAGGCTGTGGATATGGATATGTGTCGGCCCCCGGGGGCCGGAATATGTCCGTCTCCACCGCCTGCCGAGGCTCCGAGACTCGACCCTCCAGGCGGTGGTCGTGTATTGGAGGCCTGGAAATTAGCACCAACACCAACGCAGGGGGTTGCCTCCACAGGGGGAAGATGATCTTGGATTTCGGCGTTGGTGGTACTACTTCGGTCACCTTGGAAGCCAGAACATTACCACCATCACCGAGATCGGGATCTTCGTCCCTCGGTAGAGGCACACCGCCGATATTGGTGTTGGTGTCAACCTCTAGGCCTGCGATACAGCACAGTTGGGGCCGATTTCGAAGCTTTTCGAGCGGGGTGCGGCCAACGAAAGCAGCGAAGGATGGGCCGAGGAGGCAAGGATGCAAGGGGACCCTTGGGAGTGTTGCCTATCCTGATTATGCGGGTTGACTGTACAGTACATTCGGCCCGTATCATAAGGATGCGCGATGCAAAAACATGAGAACTGTTGGGGGTCCGCGCGGATTTCTTGGATCCGCGCTGGCCCCCTCTCCCTGGCGCGCTCCGCGCGCCAGAGGCGGCGCCGGAGGCGCCGCCAGAGGGGGCCCCGGCGCCGATCCAAGAGATCGGCGCGGACCGCCGACCTTTAACGTTTGTTCCGATGTTCGTCTTCGCCTACAGTCAGCCCGTATCAGAAGGATGCGCGATGAGGCTGCAAGGGCCTCAGATGCCCATGTCTTGAGCAGGGACCGACCGTCCCGGCATTCCTATAGGCCTACCACGAAATTGTCTTAGAAACCCAAAATGTATTAAGAACAAAACAACTTTCTTAGAACATGAAACTGATATGTTCAAACAAGACAGTCCCAGCCAGAAATGTTCTAAGAACATATCGTGCAGACTAGAACATTGTTTGGTAGGCCTATAGGCACGCCAGGAAGCTTCGCCACTGCTTGAATGTCGAAGCTGTTCGAGCGGGGCGCGGCCAACCAAAGTGACCAAGGATGGACCGAGGAGGCAAGGATGAAAGGGTACCCTTGGGAAGGTTGCCCATCCTAACTGTGCGGGCTGACTGCAGGAGCTCGACCACAAGAGACCTTCCACAAGGAGCCCAACCCTGCGACCCCAGGACGTCCATCGACTTTTGCTGCGGGAGCGTCGCGCTTCCCCTCGCCGAACCATCGAAGCCCAAGACACCCGGAGCACCCTGGAGGCAAGCAGGGTGTTTCTTGGCAGGAGGAGGAGGAGGAGGAGGAGGAGGAGGAGGAGGAGGAGGAGGAGGAAAGAGGAGGAGGAGGAGGAGGAGGAGGAGGAAAGAGGAGGAGGAGGAGGAGGGGGAGGAGGAGGAGGGGGAGGGGGAGGAGGAGGAGGAGGAGGGAGGAGGTTGGCATGGGCCTCCGCTGCAGAGCCCGTCGCTCTGGCAGCGTGGACCTGGGCCTCCGGCGGCGCGCTGCTCGAGCCGGGCGCCGTCTGGGAGGGACGTGCTCGTATTATGTCGGGCCTGTCCCCCTCCAGGGGGATTTTCGACGAAAAATGAAAAATACCACCAAAATACACCAAAGGGGGATTTTCGACGAAAAATACCCTCCAGGGGGATTTTCTACGAAAAATACCCTCCAGGGGCTCGGCGAAAAATACCCTCCAGGGGGATTTTCGACGAAAACTGATTCTCAAAAAATAATCCCCAGACTATTTTTGGAGGGACATGCTCGTACGGTGAAGAGGTAGTAAGGACGCGTGGTAAGGACGCGAGACCCTTGGAGGCCGAAGTTGAGGCATTCTGGGCGGCAGGCGGCCAAACCCCCAGGGAACCTGAGGAACTGGCCTGCGAAAACCGCTAGGAACGGGCCGCAGAGGCTGAGGCAGGCAAGGACCCAAGGGTACCTTTGAAAAAGTCGTTCGTCCTTACTATGCGCGTTGACTGTACGACGCATCCTCCTCCGGAGGCGCACGTCCGACCATCTCACGCAGTACACGTGAGCGTTTTCTCACTCGGCGTGTCCGCACTGAGCGAAGAGGGGGGGGGGAGAGGGGGGGGGGCATGGCTCTTGACCTCTGCTCCGTGCGACGGCTTGCGCCAGCGAAGCAGCCGCACCTGCTCGAAACGGGCGCCCCAAAACCAGCCAAGATCTGCTCCATGGGAGGGGGGGGGGAGGGGGGGTACGATTGCCCGCCCCCGATCGGCAAAACAAGGGGTCAACAAAACGATCGCCAACCGTGCTGCCGCAGATCGTTGCCCGAACGGCGTGGCCAGAGAGCGCCCGCCGCGGAGCACGCATATGTACGGTTGAGACTTCCGAGAGTGCGCGCGCCCCCCCTTTTGGCGGCGACGCGCACACGGCATCAACACGTCTGGGGGATGGCGCCAGAACCGGACCGCCGACAACTCCCTCCTCCCCCCTCCCTCTCCTCCTCCTCCTCCTCCCTCATCCCCTATCCTCCTCCGCCTTCCTCCTCCTCCTCCTCCTCCTCCTCCTCCTCCTCCTCCTCCTCCTCCCTTTTCCCTTTTTCCCCTCCTCCCTCCACAATTACACAATATGAAAATACTCTCCCACTTCCCCTGATGGCGTCCGGAAGATATTCGGCCCCCCCCCGCGTACTGTTTTTTACACACAGGATTCCCCGGAGTTGGGTTTTCGCTTGTTTTTTCTAAAATACTGCTCTCGCTGAGGCGCCGGCCTCATTTCTGCTCCCGAATCGTTCCGAATCGTGCTCCCGCTCCAGCGTGGGCCTCATTTTCGGATCGGTGTTTGGCCTCCGTCGTTGAGGATGGCGTTCTCGCCCCTAGAGCGGGCCGCACTCTCGCGCGCCATCCCGCCCGCACCACCGCCACCCTTTTTTTTCGCCGCACCCAACACCACACCACCACCACCACCAAACACCCACCACCAAGCAGGCCAAGCAACCAGCACCAGCAGCACCAGCCCAGTAGCACCAGCAGGCCCCAGCACCAAGCAACCAGCAACACCAGCACCAAGCAGCAACAGCAAACCCACCACCACCACCACCACCACCAGCACAACCAGCACCAGCACCAGCACAACCAGCACCAGCACCAGCACCAGCACCAGCACCAGCACCAGCACCAGCACCAGCACCAGCACCAGCACCAGCACCAGCACCAGCACCAGCACAACCACGCACACACGCACGCACGCACGCACGCACGTGCACCACCACCCACTACGCACGCGCGCGCGGAGCCACAGGTCCGCTACGACACGCGTCCGCGGATAGAGAAAATCAGCGCCATGGTAAGGGATGGGAGGGAGGGGTAGGACGTCAGATATGACGCGAGCGCACCTAGCTTGTCCCCCTCCCCCTCCCCCTCCTCCTCCTCCTCCTCCTCCTCCTCCTCCTCCTCCTCCTCCTCCTCCTCCTCCTCCCTCTCCTGAGCCTGGCCCCCCTGACGTTGCCCCCCCAGGAGCGCCGAGATCCCGATCTCGATGATTATTTCTCCTCCAGGGATCCCTGGAACGCCGAGATCGAGATTTCGACGTGTGCCAGCTGCTCTCCTCCCCTGTCGTCTCTCTCAATCCACTTCCCTCCTGACTGTCCTCGATCCTCCTTCTCTCGTCTTCTCTATCTGTGTTTCTCCTCTCCCGCTCCTCCTCCTCCTCCTCCTCCTCCTGCTCCTCGTGCTTCTCCTCCTGCTCCTGCTCTTGCTCCTCTTGCTCTTCCTCCTCATTTTTTTAGGCAGGCTATTGCGCGACGAATCGCGCCTCCTCCTCCTCTTCTTCCTCCTCCTCCTCCTCCTCCTCCTCCTACTCCACCTCCTCCTCTCTCGTTTGCCTCATCTCTCCTTCTGTCCTTGTTCCTTGTTCTTCCTCTCTACACTTACACATTCCACATACTACACTCATCTCCCCCCTGACTCTGTCCAGAATGTGCTCACCCATCTCCGGGTACTGTTTTTTACACACAAGATGAATTACAACACATGGTCTTTCCTATGGTCGTCTCGTCGAATCGGAGCGTTGTCCGTGTCTCGAAATGGTGTTGCCGCTGCAGCGCTGGCCTCATTTTAGGATCGGCGCTGTGGCCCCGTCGTTTAGTATGGCGCTCTCGCCCCACCGCGGGCAACTGTTCTGGATCCGAATGTGTTTCCTCATCGTTGTCGCCCCACTCCTTGCCCTTCCTCCGCCTTCCCCGCTCCAGTTCCTGCTGCTGCTGTTCGACCTCGTCCTACTCCTTCCTCATCCTCCTACTGTTCCTCCTGCTCCTCCGCTACCTCCTCCTCCTCCTCCTCTTCTCCTCCTCCTCCTCCTCCTCCTCCCCTTCTCCTGTGTACGCAGCTCCCCCGTTGCCGCTTGCGCATCACACGACGGGGTCTTCTTGGGATCTCTATAGGTCCGCTGTGCGACGCGTCCGCGGACGGAGGAAAACGTCCCGTGACACCGATGGTGTAGCTTTCGTGCCGAACCTGCGGTTCTCCCGATGAAACGGCCATCGTGGACAATAGTGTATGGGGCCATTTGGGACCGTATGGTCGTGGATGCCAAGACAATGGACACTCTAACAATCCTATCATCGAATTAAAGATGTGTTTAACATGTGTAAACCATGTTCTAAAACTGTTTCAAACATGCTTTAAACTTGAAAACACAGATTCGAAACATCTTTCAGACACCTGGAAATCATTTGGCAACATGCTTCCTCTCCATTAATCGACTTCCACAACAGTATGTGATCATCTGCCTGTGACTAATTACCACCTCGCACCGCCACATTCGACCGTCTTGGCTCACACGTTTCCGAACGCTTGTAACATGTTGGTCCTCCGATGTGGACAGTCTTGGCCCGTCTCGGACCACCATCTTAGACCATCTTGAGCCATCGCTGGCCATATTGGGCCGTCCTGGACGGACATCTTGGACCGTCTCTGAGCATTTTGGCGGACGCCGTAGGGAGATGAGTGCGGCGGCGGAGACGAAAACAAAGGCGGGAGACAAGCAGAAGGACCGTGACGATCGAGTACGAAAGGGACGACGAGTGCGACAACGTCGAGGAGGTGGAAGGGAAGGGGGAGGGAGGGAATGAGGGGAATGGGGGTAAGGCGCGAGGAGGATAGCAACGACGAGGTCGAGGAGGACGAGAGGAAGAGGACGGGAAGAGGCAGGCGGAAGAAGGAACGCGAGGAGGAGAGGCAGAATGAGGAGGAGGAGGAGGAGGAGGACGAGGATGAGCAGGCGGGGAGGATGACTATAACGACGACCATGATACTGGTATAGCATTACATGACATGACATCGGTACTTGAGGAACATAGTCTTCAGCACCTTGGCAGGTCAGAACGCCTTGCTACGACGACCATGGACGAGGAGAAGGAGAGACAGAGGAGAGGAGGAGCAGGAGAAGGCGGAACGCGAGCAGGCGAGGGAGGAGGAGGAAGAGGAGGAGGGTTCGAGCAGGAGCAGCAGCATGAGCAGCAGCAAGTGGACCAGGAGGGGCACGAGGAGCCCGGGAAACGAGGAGGAATGGAGAGAGGAGCGCCTGGCAAAAACAAAAACATCCTCAAATCCTGGATCCTCCGTCTCCTCCTCCTCCTCCTCCTCCTCCTCCCTCCTCCTCCTCCCTCCTCCCCTCCTTCCCTCTCACTCCTCCCTCCTCCCTCCTCCCTCCTCCTCCTCCTCCTCTCCTCCTCCTCCTCCCTCCCTCCCTCCTCCCTCCTCCCTCCTCCCTCCTCCCTCCTCCCTCCTCCCTCCTCCTCCTCCCTCCTCCCTCCTCCCTCCTCCCTCCCCCCCCCACCACCTGCGGCGGCAAAGGCTCAGGAGGGGAGCGCGCTGCCCGGCACCCGCCGAGATCTGATCCTTCCCGCCCGCGGCCCCCAGAGGCCCCCACCCGCGCCCCGGGGGCAGTGCTCGTCCCGGCTCCGCTTCCAGTGGTCCCCGCGCCCGACCTGAACGGTGTTTGGGCGAGTTCGTGGGCCGTTTGCGTTTCGACTTCGCTTCGCAGCAGAAGCGGGAAGAAGACAAAGCGGGTGAACACGCGAACATGACGAAAATTAGCAAAACACTGTTTAGGTCGATTCCTGGATGGTCCCGGGGCCCGAAAACGGCCCCCAAAGGCCGAATCTGGAGCGGATTGCGGTCGAGGCAAGGCTCCTGAGATCCGACGTTGCGAAGCGAAATGCACCATCGCGACAAATCACGGCCAGAGACCTAGACCCCTTCTTTCTGCAGCATTTTCTGAGCCAAATCAGTACGTAATGCTCCCGAGGCCCGGAACCGCGCGCAAATGCCGCAAGTGTGAGAATGCGACATGTCTCAAACGCTAGGTGCAGTTCAGCAGCGCTATCGTCCTTGGCGGACTCAAGCTGACCCCCCCGAACAGGCTGCGCAACGGGAGGCAGAGACTCTGGCGAGAAAATTCCCTACGACTCGGCAGCTGCATGGCAACGGGCGTTTCTGCACACACATTTATACACATATATATATATATATATATATACATACAAACATACATGCATATGATCAGATGTATGTATATAGTTGTGCGCATACACACACATATATATACACATACATATACATATACATATACATATACATATACATATACATACACATACACATACACATACACATACACATACACATACACATACATACATACATACATACATACATACATACATACATACATACATACACACATACATACAACCAAACATACATACATACACACATACATACATACCTACATACATATATACATGCATGCATACATACATACATACATACATTCGGTTAACGATGGTTGTGTATATGAACGTGCATACATACATGCATAAACGTGTCTTGACCGAACTAGGAAATTATCCTGGCGAAAGACCCAACCATACGCAAGTGTGAGAACCGCAAAGCAGGTGGGACGAAGCAAGGGGACTTTCCTATGGGGCCACGAACCATGTGAGGGGGTGCGCCAAAATGGGGCGGGGCCGCCATGCGAACCCTGCCACTGGGGCCTTCGGTGGAGCTCCCTATGGGGCCACGAACCGTGTGAAGGGCGCGCCAAAATGGGGCGGGGCCGCCATGCGAACCCTGCCACTGGGGCCTTCGGTGGAGCTCCCTATGGGGCCACGAACCGTGTGAGGGGTGCGCCAAAATGGCGCGGGGCCGCCATGCGAACCCTGCCACTGGGGCCTTCGGTGGAGCTCCCTGTGGGGCCACGAAACGCTGTACTGGGTGGGTGAAACGCAGGGAGGAGGGAGGAAGAAGAAGAGGAGGAGGAGCAGAGGAGGAGGAGGAGGAGGAGGAGGAGGAGGAGGAGGAGGAGGAGGAGGGGGAGGGGGGAAGGAAGGAAGGAAGGAAGGAAGGAAGGAAGGAAGGAAGGAAGGAAGGAGGAACGCGGGGCACCGTCTCTTCAAAACGAGGACCCAGCACCACAGGATGGTTGGGAAAAACGAATCTCGGGGCAGGCAGGCGGGGGCAAGCCTGCTCAGGGCTGGCGGCCGCAGAGACGCCCGCGTGGAAGTCGGGGTCCTCCAGCACCTGCCCGGGGGCCCCGCTGCTCGGGGCGGAGGCGCCCGAGGCCCCAGCGAACCTAATTACACGGCCCGTGCCGAGCCGCTGCCGCTGCTGCTTTGGGCGACCCAGAAGCTCCCCGTCGCTCGGACGTCCTTTCCCTGTGTTTTTCGTCGGTTAGGTGCGTGTTTTTTCTTCGCAGGATGATCCAGGATGCTCTTGAATAGTCCCCGCCGAGAAAAAGTGCACACGTCCGAGAGATACCAAGAGAGGGGGTCCAATCGAAAGGGGGTGGTGCAATAGGCTTGGGGCAACTGTATCGCACATGTATTGCGCAGGAGAATTGCATTGTATTGTATTGCAGGTCACATGCATTGCGCGCAAAAGTCCAGCAATACACTTGAACCCCCGAGTGTATTGCACGCCCCAGATGTACGCAGTTTCCTTGAATTCGACCACGACGTGCAGCTTACCCGCGCCGTCGTCCGTTTCCTCGAAGACGACGGGGGCAGTGTGAAAGGCTCACTCTGCAAGGGAGCAGGGTCTTCTTTCCTAAGACGCTGCTGCATAAAGTGGACGTCGGCGTGGCTGCGCTCAAGCGAGCCGAGGACCGATGCAACACCGATGAGTCCCGTGTAGATATGCATCATGATGTGTTTCGTAATACTTGCACGAAAAATGTATGCGTGATGCGTGCACCCGCGGAAATGATGGGTCAGTTTTGAGACCACTACGGAAGAGAGCTCTTGGGGTGACGCAGTCGAAACCGAACGTTGTCGGAGGTTTGGGAGGGGGGCAATGTTCACTGTGCGGCGCTTGTTGGAGCCGCGTGGACGCCCTGAATCCCGAAATTGCGGTATCCCTGGAACGCTTGAAGAAAGCAATGCAAACGAAACTTGGGCCGTGGTGGAACCTCTTGGACGCATGCCGTGGGGTCCGTCTCAAGGGTCTCTTGGGCGTGGAGCCGTCTGTGGGGTCCCTGGAAACCGTCTTGGGACCGCATTTGGCCCATCTGCGGATCTTCTTGGACCGTACTGGGCCAGGCTGAGGGTTCTCTTGGGCACTTCTTCGGGCAGCCCTGTTCGAGCCGTCCACAGGCCCTCTTGGCCCGTCTGGGGGCCCTCTTGCTGCCCTGCCGGGGCGTTTGGAGGGCCTCTCGGGCCAAATCGGCGCCGGCTCGGACCGTGTCCCGAGCTCTGAGAGAACGCGTTTCACGGGCGCTTGCCTTGGGAACACTCGGCGGCGCGTTTCGAACCGGGGGCCCCCCAGGGTGGGCCCCCCCCCGGGGTGGGCCCCCCCCCCAACACTCGGCGTCGTCGATCAAAACCAAGGGGACTCCACTCCCCCCCCCCTCCCGAACCCCTCCCCCTCCTCCCAAGGGGAGGGGGTTTGACCCCCCCCGGCACCGACGCCGGCGGCCGCCAGCAGCGCCGACGGCGGGGACGCAGCGACGATGACCAGAGGCAGCCCAAAGGGGGGGTGGGGGGGGTTCAAACCTCCCCCCCCCTGGCGCTGAGGGGGGGGTTCAACTCCCCCCACCCTTGGCGCGGGCGCCGGCGCTGGCGGCGGCCAGCAGCGCCGGCGCTGGCGCTGGCGACGGCGGGGACGCAGCGACGATAACCACCACTACCACCACCACCACCACCACTACCACTACCACCACCGCCTCAACCCACCACCACCACTGCCACAACCACCACACAACCACCACCACCACCGCCACCACCACCACCACAACCACCACCACCACAACTCACCATCACCACCACCACCACCACCACCACCACAAAAATTAGCCTGGCGAAGGACCCAACCATGTGCAGTTGTGAGTAATGCTCGTGTGAGTACCGTCTTCGGTGGATCTCCCTATGGGGCCACGAACCGTTTGAGGGGTGTGCCGAAATGGGTGTGGGGGCGGCATGCGAACGTTGCCACTGGGGCCTTCGGTGGAGCTCCTTCTGGGGCCACGAAACATGTGAAGGGTGCACCTAAGTTGGTGTGGGGGGGAGGCATGCGAACCCTGCCACTGGGGCCTTCGGTGGAGCTCCCTGTAGGGCCACGAAACGTGTGAGGGGTGTGCCGAAATTGGTGTGGGGGCGGCATGCGAACGCAGCCACTGGGGCCTTCGGTGGAGCTCCCTATGGTGCCACGAAACGTGTGAGGGGTGTGCCGAAATGGGTGTGGGGGCGCATGCGAACCCAGTCACTGAGGCCTTCAGTGGAAATCCCCATGGGGCCACGAAACGTGTGAGGGATGTGCCGAAATGGGTGTTGGGGAGGCATACGAACCAGGCCACTGGGGCCTTCGGTGGAGCTCCTATGGGGCCACGAAACGTGTGAGGGGTGTGCCGAAATGGGTGGTAGGGAGGCATGCGGACCCTGCCACTGGGGCCTTCGGTGGAGCTCCCTATGGGGCCACGAAACGTGTGAGGGGTGTGCCGAAATGGGTGGTGGGGAGGCATGCGGACCCTGCCACTGGGGCCTTCGGTGGAGCTCCCTATGGGGCCACGAAACGTGTGAGGGGTGTGCCGAAATGGGTGGTGGGGAGGCATGCGGACCCTGCCACTGGGGCCTTCGGTGGAGCTCCCTATGGGGCCACGAACCGTTTGAGGGGTGTGCCGAAATGGGTGTGGGGGCGGCATGCGAACGTTGCCACTGGGGCCTTCGGTGGAGCTCCTTATGGGGCCACGAAGCGTGTGAGGGGTGCACCGAAGTTGGTGTGGGGGCGGCATGCGAACCCTGCCACTGGGGCCTTCGGTGGAGCTCCTAATGGGGCCACGAAGCGTGTGAGGGGTGTGCCGAGATGGGTGGTGAGGAGGCATGATGATGATGATGATGGGAGGAGGGAGGGGGGGGGGAGGAGGAGGAGGTGAGGAACGCGGGGCGCCGTCTCTTCAAAACGAGGACCCAGCACCACAGGATGGTTGGGAAAAAAAACACCACCACCACCACCACAATCTACCACGCCACCACCACCACCGCCACAACCACCACAACTACCAGCAGCACGACCCGCCACCACCACCACGAACCACCACACCACCACCACCACCGCCACCACCACCACCAGCACCACCTCCACAAACCACCGCCACCACCACAACCCACAACCACCACCACAAACCACCACCACACCACCGAACCACCACCACCACCACCACCACAACCCACCACCTCCACCACCACAAGCCACCACCACACTACCACCACACCACCACCACAACCACCACCACCACCACCACCCACCACCACAACCACCACCGCCACCACCACAACAAACCACCACACCACCACCACCACCACCACAACCACCACCACCACCACCACCACCGCCACCACCACCACAACCCACAACCACCACCACCACCGTCGTCCTCGTCGACGCTCCCCGTCGCCGCCAGCCGCCGCCGCAGGCGCCAGCGCCGGCCCAGAAAAAGGAATCGTCGTCCTTGCCGCCGCCGCCGCCAGCCGAGGAGAGGGAGAGAGGAGAAGTAGGGGAAGGGGGGGGGGTTCGAACCCCATCCCCTCCATCCAGGGGGGGGGGGTCCCGTTCCAAACCCTCCCCCACTCCAAGCGACCACAGAACGCGCTCTTGCGGAGCTCTCGGACGCCCTCAGAGGGCACCAGGAAAGCGCGTGGGCCGTCTTGGGAGCGTCTGGGGCTGGCTGAGGCCCCCCATGGCAAATGCGCATGTTCCCGGACAGGGCGGGCTATCGAGCCCCCTGGCCCAAACACACACGGCAGTACGATCTGAAAGGCGTTGGTGAAAGCTCGCGAAGCAAGCGCACAACGACCTCTCGGACAGACCTTCGACTCCAACATTCCGCCACTCCCAGTCCTCCTCCATCCCCTTCAGGGCCTCGCCCGACGACCGTGGCAGCAGCTGCCCTCCCACAGGCCGCCCAGGCCCCGTGGGCCAAGGCAGGGAGGTTGACCACCGAGAGAAGGGCGGGCTTCCAGGTGTTGGGGGGGGCTAAAACGAGTGGGTCCAGCGAGAGTGACCCTGGGCAGGAGTGATCTGTGGTACGCGGCCTGCCGATCGTGGCATGCGATGCGACCAGTGGCGGCCTGCGCGCTTTGGGTTTGGGCCCCTATGCCTCCCGAAAGCTGCGCATCAAAGGTCACTCTGGCGAAGGGCCGCTCTCTTGTAGCCGACATTCCCCCATCGCCATCTCGCCGTCACCCCTCCACCCCCCCCCCAAGACTGAGGGGGGCCGACAGGGCGGGACCAGCTCAGGGGGGGAAACTTCGACCTGGAATCGGCGATAAATCGCCGATGTATCGGCGATTGGCACCTACCCCTTATACGCGGGGCATCACAATACGCGGGACACCCTTACCGGTGTCAGCGTACCAATGTTGGAAGTATGATCCCAAGGACGACAGAACCATAAAAGAACGCTGCAATGCTGCGCATGAAGGAATACCCGACGCAGCAAAAGCAAAGGTTTTGAGGTCAATACAACATCACAAAAACATCGTTGCTCCGCATGTATTCATCTTCCAGCTGTAGCTCTGGGAATCACTCAAAAGTTGCAAGTGCGACTGTCGGCACGGAGGCCAGAGCACGGTCGCTCGTTTTCCCCTCAGCCAGAGCCGTGAGCTTGGTACAAGCCGCTGGGGGAATCATTACGTCCTTGTGGTCTTCCCCCAGCAGACATCCGACGGCAAACCCTGCGTGCTGCAAAATGCTTCACGTACACATTGAAATACAGGACGCCATTCTCCGTACGCCCATGAACGACTTTCAGGTCAACTTTTCGGAATCGTAGCCCCAGAGCGAACCATTATGTAGCCTTGATATCAGGTTGCGACGCGCTGTAATGGTAGCCAGCTGGAGGATTGCAGCCAGCCAAGTGCGCTTACGGCAACGGGTGGATATTCCCAAAATCATCAGATCCTGATGCCTTCGACACCATGCGCTCTTCCCCGCCATGTATTCAACGAGGTATCATGATTTTCCTCCGCCCGCTCCTCGTCCTTATCCTTGCTCCTGCGTTTCCTAGCCCTCCTCTGCCTTCTCCTCAGCCCTTCGTCCTCACATCGGGTGCGAGATCGCAGAAGCAACCTTCGCGCGCGGAAGGAGAACACGTTACGTTCGAGCGCACCGATCATCCGACACCCGTCCAAACCACCCTGCCACATCCTCTTCGCTCACCGCCTCGCAATCATGGCGACAAGATGCTCCGACAAAAAAGTCTGCGGCGGCACCTTGGTGACAGTCCACTCGACGAGGTCGTAGCACATCTCACCCCTCTTCGCAGTCGAGCACTTGAAGCTCGCGTTAGCTAGCTCCTCGAGGCGGAGTAGAGAGATAGCCGCATTTGCCCAAAAAGGCGGGGGCAACTTCGAAACGTCTGCAACACATGAGCGGCATTGCACAATTACTGCAACAACAATATCGCAACAACTATTAGGCAAGGGACGGCAACTACTATACCACTACCAAAGCCGTACCCTCTACGACAAGAGCCAGACCACACTGACGAAGACGCCCGAGAGAAAACGCCGCACCCCATCCTCGCTTGTGCCTTGGCGCGAACGGGAACGGGGCATCGAAGAGCAGTGCGAGCGCGTGCGCCACCAAGAGATACCGAGAAAGGGAGAGTCGGCGGTAGACAAACCTCCCTTTGGTAAACCTCCCCTTAGTGATCGAAGAGCAGTGCGAGCGCGTGCGCCGCCAAGAGATACCGAGAAAGGGAGAGTCGGCGGTGGACAAACCTCCCTTTATGAAAGCTCCCCTTAGTGAAAACGGCCTAGGGCCGAAACCGACGGACCTGGACCCGCAAAAATGACAGCCGCGACGCCCTCTCGCGAACCGAAAACGACCAATTCCTCAATCGACGTGGCAAGGCAGGAGGCCTATCAACCTCCGAGAGAGAGAGGCCACAACGGCCGGCTCACAATCTGTCATGTGCGGCGGTGTAGGCACCGATGCGGGCGGAGGGGGGAGGCTTGAGGGATGAAAAAACGACCCTACCCTGGGTTACAAGTGCGTGGTCTGTAAACCTCCTGGGAGCCCCCAAAGCCTAGAGCCGCCAGGACGCGGCACATCACGCAGGGTCTACCTGTCAGAGCACAGGAGTTTCAGCGCACAGCGCCTCGTAAACCAGGGTGGGGGCGCTTTTTCTGCCCTTGATACACAGGAGGCATCTGTACACCACCACCACCGTGCCAGGCCAGGGCCATTCTGGCCCTGGCACGGTGTATACGCCCTCCTGGCCGAGGCCAGGAGGGCGTATACACCACCCTAGGGCCCAAAATGGCTCTGGCCTGGCACGGTGGTGGTGTATAGACGCCTTCGTCGGACTTGAGCGGCGGCAGCACGCCCGAGCGGGCCGGCGCAGAGAGACCGGGCGCCCCGCTGCGCCTCCAGGTAGGCCTCGGTGGCCCGCTCCGGGGACTCCTCGGGGCTGCGCGCGCAGGCAAACAGACGGGCGGAGCCCCGGCTGCAGGGACGGCCACGGGGTGCACCCCCGCCTCTGGCCGACGGATTGCACTTCGGAGTCCCGGAACGGCCTCCTCCTCCTCTCCTCCTCCTCCTCCTTCTCCTCCTCCTCCTCCTCCTCCTCCCTCCTCCCTCCTCCCTCCTCCCTCCTCCTCCTCCTCCTCCTCCTCCTCCTCCTCCTCCTCCTCCTCCTCCTCCTCCTCCTGGTGACAGGCTCGTGCGGGGACCCCGAGATCCCCCAGGGCCTCGCCGCGCGGTCCGTCGGCGCACGGCTCTGGGCCCTCGGCGGCCCCCCGCCGCCCGGGACGCCCTCGTCGGAGCACGGCCCGAGGCCTAGAACCGCGCGGCGACCCCGAGTCCCCACCGGCTCACCGCACGGTGTGGTCATCACCCCCCGCGCCTCGCGCGCCCCCGCGCCACCGCTCGGACGGCCCTTCCCCTGTGCTTTCTTCTCGGTCTCGCGCGTGACTCTTTCGCCAGATGATCAAGGCTGCTCCCCGATTGTCCTCGCCGAAGGAAAAAAATGCACGCGCCCGAGCGATGCCAAGCCCCCCCGGGCCGCCCCGCCGTGGCGAGAAAGGCGGCCGCCCTGGCCAGGGCCGCGGCGCGCGAGGCGCGATCCTCGTCGCGCCCCCGAGGGCGGCAGCGGTTGCACATCCTCGCACTGACGACCTACCAGGCCACCGCAAGCCAACTCGAAGACCCCAGGTCCGGGCTGGGGGGGGGGTACGGGCTTCATGCGTGTGTGTGTGTGTGTGTGTGTGTGTGTGTGTGTGTGTGTGTGTGTGTGTGTGTGTTTCCCCATATTCTCCCCCCACACACACTCCACTCCCACTGGAAACGGAGGGTAAACTGGGGCCTTCGGGTTGGGTTGGGGTGGTTTCACATCCTCTCACTGACGACCCACAGTAGGGGCCCGACCACACGAAACCTTCCACGAGAAACCCAACCCTGAGACCCCAGGGCATCCATCCTTTTTGACGTGGGAACGTCACGCGTTCCACGGCAAAAACATCGAAACACAAGAAACCCAGGGCACCCTGGAGGCAACTAGGGTGTTTCTTGGCATGGGCCCCCACTGTACCAGACCACCCCAACCCAACCCGAAGACCTCAAGTTCGGATTGGGGGAGGTACGGGCTTCAGATGCATGTTTTTCTGAAATGTTTCCCCCCCTCCCCCCGCACCCTCCCGCTCCCCCACTGGAAATGGAGGGTACATCCGGGCCTCCGGGTTGGGTTGAGGTGGTTTGGTGGGCGGTGACTCACGTGCACTCCTCCGCCACATGCTGCACGTGCTCCGCAATTGCGTCAAGCGAGCTGCGCTGCCATGCTGCCAACAACCTGCCGCACGATCACGAGAAGCCGCACCTTTGTCCGCAGTCCGCGCCCGCTCGGCGGCGGGGAGCCGAGGAGGGCCAGAAGAGCCCACGGCGGAGAGGCGCCGAGAGCGGCGCCAATCTGGGGAGAGCGCTCGCCACCAATCACCATGCGTAGCATGATCATCACTATCCTCCTACCGCCACTGTCACCATCACCATCGTCTTCACCACCATCACCATGACCACCACCACCATCATGGGCATGATAATGGGCATGTTCCTGGCCATCTTCGCCTCCTGGCCATCACCATCACCATCACCATCATCACCATCACCATCACCGTCATCATCACCATCACCATCACCATCACCATCACCATCACCATCACCATCACCATCACCATCACCATCATCACCATCATCATCATCATCATCATCATCATCATCATCATCATCATCATCATCATCATCATCATCAGCATCAGCATCATCATCACCACCTCCAGCAACATCACCACCACCATCACCATCACCTTCACCATCACCGTCACCATCACCACCACCGTCACCATCACCATCACCATCACCATCACCATCACCATCACCATCATCATCATCAACATCATCATCATCATCATCATCTTCAGCATCAGCATCAGCATCATCATCACCACCTCCAGCAACATCACCACCACCATCACCATCACCTTCACCATCACCATCACCATCACCATCACCATCACCATCACCATCACCGTCATCATCATCATCATCATCATCATCATCATCATCATCATCATCATCATCATCATCGTCACCATCACCATCATCATCATCATCATCATCATCATCATCAGCAGCATCAGCATCAGCATCAGCGTCATCATCATCACTATCACCATCTATCATCATCATCAGCAGCAGCATCAGCATCAGCATCATCATCATCATCACCACCTCCAGCAACATCACCACCACCATCACCATCACCTTCACCATCACCATCACCATCACCATCACCATCACCGTCATCATCATCATCATCATCACCATCACCATCACCATCATCATCATCATCATCATCATCATCAGCATCAGCATCAGCGTCATCATCATCACCACCTTCAGCAGCATCACCACCACCACCGTCACCATCACCATCACCATCACCATCACCATCACCATCACCATCATCATCATCATCATCATCATCGTCATCGTCATCATCATCATCATCATCATCATCATCATCATCATCATCAGCATCATCATCATCATCATCATCATCATCATCATCATCATCATCATCATCATCATCACCATCACCATCATCATCATCACCATCACCATCATCATCACCACCTCCAGCAGCATCACCACCACCGTCAGCAGCACCAGCAACGCCCACCGCCTACCTCCTGCGACCCACTCGCCCTCTCCCTCCAGATCCCTCCCGAGGGGCACACTGAGCGGGCAGCGGCTCAGGGCGCGGAGGGGACCTCGGACCTGGAAGCGGCGATGCCTCGCCGATGGATCGGCGATGGGCCTCCGATAGGGAACCCGCACGTTCCTGGGCGGGGCGGGGGCTGTCGGCCCCCTATCGGCGACCAGTGGTGTGGGACGATTCGGGGTCGATGCAACCCCCCCCTGGCCATCGCTCGGACGTCCATTCCCTGTGTTGTTTTCGGTTTCGTGGGTGGTTTTTTCGCCAAATGATCCAGGATGCTCCTCGATGGTCCTCGCCGAAGGAAAAATGCGCACGTCCGAGCGATGCCGAGCCCCAGAGCCCGTCTCCCCCAATCGCTGCCCCTTGCTTTGCGGGTCATGCCTCGGTTCTCGGGCGCGCCCCCAGGACGCTCTCGGCGAGAAGCTGCTGCTGCCAGGCATCCCGCGGCTGGAAGGCCGCCGCGAGCCGACGGAAACGCCCGACGGCCTCTTGACCGAAAAACCTCTACGCAATCACGGACCCGAACACCTCCTCCTCCTCCTCCTCCTCCTCCTCCTCCTCCTCCCCTGTGCAGCGGGCCCGTATCACAAGGATGCACGATGAGGATGCAAGGGCCTTGGAGGGCCCTCTCGAAGCCTCACGAGCAGGGCGCGGCCGACGACAGTGGCCAAAGATGGGCCGACACCGACCTTGCAGACATGCTGCAGCGGATGCTTGCGTGGATACCTGCCGGTGCAATCCCCGCAACGGCGAGTGAAAAACGAAGTCAATGTCGCGTGGGTGTTTATCCGTCCTCATTCCTGGCCAAAAAAAACGCACGAAATTCACCTCGAAATCCTGAACGAAATTATCCAGGACACATCCTATCGTTTTCCGAACGAGATCCGCTCTGCGGTGTTGGCGCCATGAACGGATGCAAGGATACCCTTGGGAAAATTCCTCATCCTTACCATGCGGGTTGACTGCATCTACGGGTTGACTGCATCTACGTACCCATCGTTCGGAAGAAGTAGGCAGAAGCACGACACAGGAAGGAGTTGGAAGTAGATTGGGTGTCCGCCCGCCCCCCAAGAAGGACGGAAACGGTGAGGCCACTCGATCGTTGAAGCAGGAAACCGCTCAAAGTAGATTTGGAATATTTGGGAATCCAAAAGTACCGATTTTCAACAACCAATGGGTACCTTGATACTTGTGACGCATGGGGGGCATGGTCGACCAGCACTTGATCCCATCATCCTGGAGAGACACAGATGCGATTTGGAACTCGATTGGGACAAGAGTGTGAAGATGCTGGTAGCGTCAGACTGCCTGGTCTTCAGGCCGACTGGGCAACCTACGGTCAACCCGTATAGTGAGGATGCGCGATAAGGATGCAAGGGCCTTGGAGGCCCATTTCGAAGCTTTTCGAGCGGGGCGCGGCCAATGAAAGTGGCCAAGGCTGGACCGAGGAGGCAAGGATGCAAGGGCACCCTTGGGAACGTTGCCCATCCTTACTATGCGGGTTGACTGTACCTCTGCCTTGAAGGTCGCTGGGGGGGCAGCGTTGTTTCCAGGGCCCGATCCCCGTACGCTCGGCGGGCGCGCTTGATCGGTTAACAGCAGTCCTTGCCGCCGCCCTTCGCGACAGGCTCTGATTTCAGGTTTGCTCTTGCCCACGATTGGGCTGCTCATGCTTGCTCTTGCCCCACACAAGCATTGCCCTCTCCCCCGTCGCCCCAGAAACACAGATCGCGTTCGCTGCCCCTCAGCGAGCTTCAACCTCTGCCTCCTCGCCCGCCCCTCCCTCGCGCCGCGCTGCTGGCCCGCCGCTCGCCTCGGCTCGCCGGTGCCTCCTGTGCGGGGGCGGGGCGAGGCGGAGGGGGCGCCGGGAACGGGCGGGAGAAGGAGGGGGAGGAGCGCCAGGAAGGGGCGCCAGGAACGGACGGGAGGAGGGGGAACGTCATGAGGGCGCTTCGAAGCTTGAGGTTTTGTCAGACGTTTCCGTGCATTCCTGGCGGTTTTCCAGCCTTAGAGGAGCAAGAAGCCCCATGAACATAAACTTTCGGCGCTCCGCGCGGATTTCTGGGATCTGCGGTGGACCCTCCTCCCTGGCGAGGCGCCGCCGGGGGGGCCCAGCGCGAATCCAAGGTATCCGCGCTCTTCGAAATTGGGGGTCGATACATGCCCCCCTGAGCCCATCCCTCGCTAAAATTGCACCTTGTACGTCGGAGCCAGTTCCACCGGCCCTTTCTCGACCCGACCTTGACTGTCCCTCGTCAAGCGTCGTGCGCACGTGAGCCCTCCCTGCAAGCTGACCACATGGAGACCTGGCCTGCCCGTGTCTCTTGCAAGCCGGCCGCTATGATGGTACGACTTCGGCTTCCTGCGGCCCTTCACAGCAAGTCCTCAATGAAGCCTCTGGCCGTAACACGTGGGCCTCTCGTGCCGTCTTGGAGCCATGGAGGCCTGCAGTGTGGCGCTCGTGGGAAACCGTGGGAAACCTCGGGACTTTCTCGGACGGTCTTGGAACTCTCGGGCGGCCCGGAGGCAGACACTCTGGAGCCCCGCAGCGGCGCGGTGACAGACCGTGCGGGGACCCCGAACTCCCCCAAGACCCCACCGCACGGTCCGTCGACGCACAATTTTCGGACCTCGGAAGCCCCGTCGCCCGAGACGTCCTCGGAGCACGACCCGAGTCCCAAAACCGCGCGGTGACCCCGACTCCCCACCGACTCACCACACGGTGTGGCCACCACCCCGCTTGGGGGCCCCCGATGACACGGGGAAGCGGAGACGCGGCGCGCACAGCTCCCGGCGGCAACTCCTGGGAACCTCCCGTACCACCCCGTCGGCTCTTGCGATGCGACGTCGATCTGCGCCAGCAGACGCCGATCGACGCTCGCTCGACGCGGAACCGACGCCGACTCGACGCCAAGCTGGCGCCATCCCAGCGGCTCCCAGGCGCCCATCGGCCCCGGTCGATGCCCAAGGCGGACCAGCGAGGGTCTGCGGGACGAGGCCCCCACGCCCTTCGGGAGCGGCCAAGAGGGGGGTGTCCAAGAGGGGGGGGGGTGCACGTCATGACCGGCGGCGCGTGCGCGGCCCAGCGGGGGGGCCAGGGACGCAATGAAATGAGAAGAGGCGCCATGAAAGCTTGGGAGATATCATTCTATGTTGCATCCTCGGGGGACCTTGTCTGTCCCGTCGCGGTCCTGTCCGCGTCGAATCCGTGTCGAATCCATGTCGGACGCGTCGGATCCGTGTCGAATCCGTGTCGAATCCGCGTCGAATCCACGCCAAATCCGCGTCGAGTCCGCATCGAGCACGCGTCGGGCCCCCCAAAAGACAACAATTTTTGGGACAGGCGAGGTCCCCCGAAGATGCAACAGAAATCATGGCCCCCGCTGTGGTATCCCCCCCTCCTGGTCATCACCCCCCTCTTCTCCGCCCCCGAGACAAGGAGGCCCGTGGGGAGCCCCCCCCCCCCACGGGACCACTGGACGTCCACCCCCCCGCTGCCCGCCCGCCCCCCCCCCCCGAGCGACCAGGCCCGAGGGGACCTCCAGGGGCAGGGCTGGCACCCCCCTCGTAGTCATCACCCCCCTCGTAGAGAACACCCCCTCCTAGTCATCACCCCCCTCTTTTCCGCCCCCTCCTCCTCCTCCTCCTCCTCCTCCTCCTCCTCTCCTCCTCCTCCTCCTCCTCCTCCTCCCTCCTCCTCCTCCTCCTCCTCCTCTCCTCCTCCTCCTCCTCCCTCCCTCCTCCTCCTCCTCCTCCTCCTCCTCCTCCTCCTCCTCCCTCCTCCTCCTCCTCCTCCTCCTCCTCCTCCTCCTGGTCATCACCCCCCTCTCCTCCGCCCCCGCGCTCGGGCACCGCTATCGCTCCGCCTGGGGGCCCCCCCGAGGCCCGGGGAGGCCCGGGCGGCCGAGAGCTCCCGGAGGGCGTGGCCGAGGGCCCCAGGGCTGCCGGGGGGGGGTCGGAGGCAGCAGTCCGGGCCCTCCCTGCCGCCCAGCGCCGCTGCAAATGCCCGGATATACACATACAGGCATGCATGCACACACAAGCATAAACACATGCATACATGCATGCATGCATGCATGCATGCATACATACATACATACATACATACCCACATACGTGCGTGCGTGCGTGCGTGCGTGCGTGCGTGGGTGCATGCATGCAAGCATAAACACATGCATACATGCATGCATATACACATACCTACCTATCTACCTACCTACCTGCATATATACATACGTGCATACATGCATACATACATACATCGATGCATCCATACATCAACACATACATACATACATGCATACATACATACCTACATACGTACGTACGTACATACATACATACATACATGCATACATACATACATCGATGCATCCATACATCAACACATACATCCATACACACATACATCCATACATCTATGCATCCATCCATACATCCGCACATCCATATGCATATACCTACATACATGCATACATGCATGCATATATACATACATACGTCTATACATACATCAATACATCAATACATCCATACATCAATGCACACATACAAACGTACACATACGTATGCACATACATAAATGCGTACAGACAGACATACATACATACACACATATGCATAATACATATATACGTATAGACATACACACGTGCATGCATACATGCATGCATGCATAAATCCATGCACGCATACACACATGGATGCATAGATGCGTACAAACACATACACAGCAGCACACACATATCTATACACACACATACATGCATGCATGCAAACATGCATACACACGTACGCACGTGCGCACGTAACTAGATACCTACACACATACATACATACATACATGGATGCAGCACATACATCACATACATTACATGCATACACACATACATGCATACGTGCATACGTGCATACATGCATACATGCATGCGTGCATACATACATACATGTATACATACATACGTGCGTACCTACATACATACGTACATGCATACATTACATACGTCATACACGTACATGCATACATATATTATGTACACACATGCATACGTATACGTATACCTGCACACATACGTTATATACATACATACATGCGTACATACAGTACGTACACACATGCATAACTATATACGGATGCGCACACAAACACGAGTTATACACCTGTATACATTCATACACGCACATACATGCATACGTACATACATGCATACGTACATACGTACATACATACATGCATTACATACAGACGTACATAATGACAGACAAGCATACACGCCTGCGTGCGTGCGTACACGCACATACATACATACATACATGCATACATACATTCATACACACACATACATACACATATACATACATACATACATACATACATACATACATACATACATACATACATACATACATACATACATACATATACATATACATACATACATGTGTATATGTGTATGAGCGCCCGCTCTACAGACACGCTTGCGACCGTCAGCGCTGCCGACCAACACATGTGTGTACGTTTGTGTGCGTGTGTGTACAATCGCGCCAGCTCCTCACGGAAACGTATGGGAACGAAGGCGTTTGCGTGGCATCATTCATTTCGATTGCGCTATCGGATACACATGCAGACACATGTCGCGCAATCGGATGCACATGCCTACGCAACTCTGCAAACGCCTCCTCAACATGGTCGCACATGCGGATGCGCAGTCGAACGCAGAGTCTGGAAACACTTCGAGAGTATGACCGCACATGGCCGCACATACCGCAGAGTCGAACATCCGGGCAGGGAGGGAAGAGATGAAGGAAGCAGGCAGGATAGAAGAGAAATGAGGAAAGACGCGGGGGAACGTGTGAGGGAAGCAAGGAGGGGAGGGATGTATGGCAGGTGGAGAGGACGGAGAGAAGGACAATTATAGCCAGAGATAGCCAGAGCACAGCATCCCGAAACAGCGTTCTTAGAGCCAAGGTGGCCAGACCACCGCGTGTGCGCATCTCGGAGCCCAGAGTAGGATGTCACAGGCAAGACTGGTCGGACCACCTCTTGCGCGGCATCTCGAAGCCTAGAGTTGTCTCAGGCGGAATTGGCTGGACCACTTCAAATCAGGCGACTCCGTAGCCGAGAATTGCCTGGACGTCTCAAGCGAAACTCGCCATACCACCTCAGACCACGGCATATCTGAGCTAAGAAATGGGAGGATGTCTCCAGCGAAACTGGCTGGACCACCTCTCGAACTGCATCTCGGAGCCCAAAATTGCGAGTACGTTTCAGGCGAAACTGGCCAGACCACCTCGATCCTGGCATCTCGCAGCCCACAGTTGCGAAGATTTCTCAGGCGGAATTGGTTGGACCACCTCGCACACGGCATATTGGAGCCCAGAGTTGCGAGGATGCCTCGGGCGAAAATGGCTGGACCACGTTTCGCGCGGCATCTCGGCGCACAGAGGTGCGAGGATGTTTCGGGCAACAACGGCTGGACCACGTTTCGCGCAACATCTCGGAATCCAGACTTGCGAGGATGTCCAAGCGAATGGGCCGGACCCTCTCGTGTCAGGGCATCTTGGAGCCCAGGGCTGCGAGGACGCCTCGAGCGAAACATGGCTGGACCACCTCTCGCGCAACATCTCCGAGCCCAGAGTTCCGAGGATGTCCCAGGCACACATGGCTGGAGCACCTCGTGTGCGGCACCACGGAACCCAAAGTTGCAGAGGAGGAGAGGGGGCGTGGACGGTTGTCTCCGGGGCCGTAGGCGACCCGAGGAGGGGAGGGCGAGCATGATGATGATGATGATGATGATGATGATGATGATGATGATGATGATGATGATGATGATGATGATGATGATGATGATGATGATGATGATGATGAGGAGGAGGAGGAGGAGGAGGAGGAGAGGAGGAGGAGAAGGAGGAGAGGAGGAGGGAGGGGAGGAGGAGGCGGAGGATTGAGGAGGGTGAGGAGGAGGGAGGAGGAGGAGGAGGGGAGGAGGAGGAGGGAGGGAGGGAGGGAGGAGGGGGAGGGAAGGAGAGGAGGGAGGAGGGCGGAGGAGGAGGGAGGAGGAGGAGGGAGGAGGGAGGAGGGAGGAGGGGAGGAGGGAGGAGGGAGGGAGGAGGGAGGAGGGAGGAGGGAGGAGAGGAGGGAGGAGGAGGAGGAGGGTGAGGAGGAAGGAGAGGAGGAGGAGGAGGAGGAGGAGGAGAGGGGAGGAGGAGGAGGAGGAGGAGGAGGAGGAGGAGGAGGAGAGAGGAGGGAGGAGGGAGAGGAGGAGGGAGGAGGTGAGGAGGGAGGAGGGGAGGTGAGGAGGAGGGAGGAGGAGGAGGAGGAGGAGGGAGGAGGGGGGAGGAGGAGGGAGGGGGGAGGGAGGGGAGGAGAGGAGGAGGAGGAGGAGGAGGAGGAGGAGAGGGGAGGAGGAGGAGGAGGGAGGAGGAGGAGGAGGAGGAGGAGGAGGAGGAGGAAGGAGGAGGGAGGAGGAGGGGAGGAGGAGGAGGGAGGAGGAGAGGAGAGGAGGAGGAGGAGGAGGAGGAGAGAGGAGGAGGAGGAGGGGATGAGGAGGGAGGAGGGAGGATGAGGAGGAGGAGGAGGAGGAGGAGGAGGAGGAGGAGGAGGAGGAGGAGGAGGAGGAGGAGGAGGAGGAGAAGGAGGAAGGAGGAGGAGAGGAGGAGGAGGAGGAGGAGGGAGGAGGAGGAGGAGGAGGAGGAGGAGGAGGAGGAGGAGGAGGAGGAGGAGGAGGAGGAGGAGGAGAGGGAGTAGGAGGGGGCGTGGACACCTCAGGGAAACGGCGGAGGGAAGGGAGCGAGGTGAGCGAGGGAGCGCGTGGAGAGGCGGGGGGCGCCGGGGGAGGAACAGGAAGCAAGGAGTAGAAGGCAAAACATCCACCCCCATAAGAACCACCCCGACAAACGACACCGTTTAGTAAGCGCACCCAGGGAAGACATCGAACAGGGCAGGGCTTTTGATGAGTCCTGGAGACCTCGTACAGTCATCGGCCTGACCTAAGGAACGATACATAGGGAACGAAACCCTTTTTCCAAGGATTAACGCATATGGAGCGATCAATCATACATAACGCATGCGGAACGATAAGTAACGCATGCAAGCCTAAGGAACGATCGAGCCCCTTTGGAAATGAAGATGTTCATTATTCAAGCCGCTCACTGTACGCGGAAAGTCTTGAAAAGCGGCTGGCGTGCGCTGCCACATGTGTGCGGGCATGCGCGGGCATCCGAGGGCAGCCGGGTCCATCGTGCGCAGGCGTGCGCGGAAGCAGAAGCTGCGGTTCCCGCAGCACTCCCGCACGCACCATCGCTCGGACGCATATTCCCCGTTCCTTTTTTGGGGCTTTCGTGCGCGTTGGCTTCGCAGAATGATCCCATATACTTTTCGACGGGACAAAACTGAGCACGTCCGAGCGATGCTGAGCGCATGTGCAAGCATACAGTCGGGGCGTTGACCTAAGGAACCCTAAATAAGGAACGAGGCCCCTTTTTCCCATGAGATAAACTTCGATTTCCCATGGACACCCTAGGGAAAACCCAAGGCGAACTGTAAAACAATCAGGGAACGCCGAGCCCCTCCCCAACGAAAAGGGTTCCTTCTTCAAGACCCCTACTGTATGCGGGCGCGTGTTGCGGCGCGCGCCAGACGATCGAGGAGCCAGACACGGCGAGGCGCACACGACCCTGCACATGCCTGGGACCTCGTGCATCGTCGGAAGGGTTCGAACGGTCATTCACTGTCCCTGGGAGCCTGGCTCAAAGGGAATTCCGTGGCGCGGATTCTGCCTGTTTGTTTGCTGCCGTCGTCCCACCCGCGACCCGCCCCGCGAACCACCCGCGCCCCGCCCCGCGACCCACCCACCTTGCTTTGACAATAAGCTCGGCGCCTGCGGCGGGCCTGGTGTGCAATTTGTAGGAAAACAAATCGGCGCCTGCGGCTAGCTTCTTCAGAGCCTCGCAAACTGCCGACGAACCCGCCGTCCCCACACTCTTACCCGCAACTGCGGGGTGCTACGTAATACACCCAAGCAGAATACCCCGCACAGGCCCTGCGCATGCACCCACGCAGAGGTGTTGAAACGAGTCTGGTGTGACTGTCATATATATATATATATATATATATCCGCCTTCTCCGGCCGGCCGGGCACTGAGGCCATACGGCCGATCCTCCTGCCCGTGTCCTCCGCATCGGCGTCACCGACCTCAACCGCGGCATCGATCTCCGTTGCTTCCCTCTTGCTCCCCGCCGCTGCTCGTGCCTCCCTCGAGCCCGTGGCAGGACGACGAGGCGGCGCTCCTTCTGCCGCAGTGCTCCGGGCAGTTCGCATGCAGCGCCTTCTGGACATCCTCCGCGCGCCGCAGCACGAGTAGGGGGCCACAGGCGAACCCTACCCCTACCCCCCACCATTTCGGAGGGGGAGGGGGGGGCTCACTTCGCTCGGGAGCTCTCGAACGAAGTGAACCCCACCCTCCCCCTCAGAAGTCGTGGGGGGGTAGGGGTAGGGTTCGCCTGTGGCCCCCTATACTCTTCCGAAGCCACGGAGGGAAGGGCCTCTCGGAAGCCCTCCGGCCTCTGCGGAGGCCCCGCCGCGTGCCGAGGCGGCCCGCACCCGCCCTGCCTGTCCCCTCTTGGGCGCGCGGCCGATGCGGAGGCCCCCGATGGCCTCCCCCAGAGGCCGTCGAGGAGGAGGAGGAGGAGGAGGAGGAGGAGGAGGAGGAGGAGGAGGAGGAGCAGGAGGAGGGGGAGGGTGCGAATGAAGCGAACCCCACCCTCCCCCTCAGAAGTCGTGCGGGGGTAGGGGTAGGGTTCGCCTGTGGCCCCCTAACGAGGCAGCACGGCGAGAGCGCGCACCCGCCGACCCCCCGCCTGCCAGCCGGCGCCGTGGCGTGCGAGGTGTTCGGTTGTGTCCCCTGCCCCCGTCCTCCGCGGCAGGAGTCTCGAGAGTCCCTGGGGAAGGGTGTGCTGTGGCCCAGGGCTGAACCTACGCGGTGCTTTTCGCTTTCGTTTTGCTTTCGCTTTCCCTCGTTTTGTCTTCGATTTGTTTTCGTTTCCGTTTTGTTTTCGATTTCGTTTTCGTTTTTTTTGTTTGTTTTCGTTCTCCCTCGTTTTGTCTGCAATCCGCCTTTCACGCAGAACGACATCGAAACGAAAACGGCCCACGAAATCTCGCCAAAACACCGTTTGGGTCCACCCCTGCTGTGGCCGTGGAGCGTCACCCAGGCGACTCCAACGTAGGGCCCACGGGGGGCCCTCCAGGGGGAAAGCAGTCCCGAGGTGTCCGGCTTCCGCGGGAGAACATGAGAACTCCTTGGCGAGGGGTTCGGGCACGGGGGTTGCCCCTGCCTAAACTTCGGGAAGAGGAATGACATCTCACCCGCGGGGGTGCTGGCGAGCGAGGTCCCACCCGCCCCAGCACAACCAGAGGAAAAAGTGCGAGAGCCTAGATTGTAAATGTAATGCAGCAACACTCGAATAGAAGCCGTACTCGGGAATTGTGCTGGCATTACTTGCGCGCTGCCTGTGTCTTATTGCCGCAATCGGCATGATATACTGCTTCCTGATTCCTTAATCGCGATTATATCATGCTTCCATACTCTCAAGTCGTGATCCCACGGTGTTCCCTTAATCCTTAGTCAATCGTCTATGATGTTTCCTCAAATGCTTCAATCGAATTTCGATAAACTAGCTGCACTGCAGGACCAAGTGCGCTCTAGGAGCAGCTGCGCGCTAGCACACGATGATACCAATTGTACTCAAATACTACGTGCACTCTGGCAGGAGGGCTTCAGGGGGTTCGGTCGCAATACGCCCGCGGAAAAACAAAATCCATGCGCCGCCAGGGGTCCTGGAACTAACGCTTCGCCGCGCAAGTGGACCCCGCGGAAGGAAGAAAATAAATCGGGGGGGGTGTTCAGGCATGAGCCGCAGGGGCGATCCTGGAGTCCCGTCGCGGCTCAGGTGCTGCGATTCACGTGGGCATGTCTCGGGCGGTCACGCAAACGAGACCTGCTGAAACGTTGTGCCGCACAGTCGGATGCGAGACTTGATGAGTTTGCGACGGTAATCCCACCAGCCCTCTGGACGTACACAGGTAGTTCAGAGAGAAGGAACAACTGCATAAGCACAAACTGTCGCCTCGCCATCGCTCGGACGTCCATTTCCCGTGCATTTTTCGGTTTCGTGCGTGTGTTTTTTTGCTCGATGGTCCATGATCGTCCTCAATGGTTCTCGCCGAGAAAAAATGCACACGTCCGAGCGATGCCAGGTCGCAGGTCCGCGCGGATTTCTTGGATCGGCGCTGGGCCCCCGTTCCTGGCGTGCGGAGCGCGCCAGGTGCGGCACCGGAGACGCCGCCAGGGGGGTCCAGCTTAGACCCAAGAAATCCGCGCGGGGCTCCGATGCTGTGTTGACGCAGCCATTCCCTGGTTCAGATCTGGGGCGCGCAAACATGGATCAGCGATCCATGGATTTGGTGCGCGGTCGCCAAATCCATGGATCAGGGGAGGTGCCATCCCCAAAATGCGGCCGGTGCCGCCTCGCTCGGCGGCGGAAATCCGCGATTCCAAATGGAAACGGGACCCGTCGCTAATCCACGCCCCCTTAATCCATATTTGCGATCGCCTGATCAGATTGCAGAAGAAGAATTCCTCGAACTCCCCCTTGCAGATTCCCCGTCGAGGAATGCCCACCCCTGCCCCGCAGGCAGAGTCGCTTTCCACCGGGGCCCGGCCATGCCTCTTGCGGCCTCTTGCGGGGGCTCCTCCTCCTCCTCCTCCTCCTCCTCCTCCTCCTCCTCCTCCTCCGCCTCCTCCCTCCTCCTCCTCCTCCTCCTCCTCCTCCTCCTCCTCCGCCTCCTCCCTCTCCTCGTCGACGGCCTCTCGGGGAGGCCATCGGGGGCCTCCAAATCGGCCGCGCGCCCAAGAGGGGAAAGGCAAGGGGGGGGGGCGGCCAGCCCCGGCAGGCGGCGGGGCCTTCCGCGGAGGCCGGAGGGCTTCCGAGAGGCCCTTCCTCTCCGTGGCTTCGGAAGAGTATAGGGGGCCACATGCGAACCCTACCCCAGGGAGGGACTTCTCCCTTGGCAGGGACTCTCGGCTCCTGCCGCGGAAGACGGGGGCAGGGGACACAACCAAACACCTCGCACGCCATGGCGCCGGCTGGCAGGCGGGGGGTCGGCGGATGCGCGCTCTCGCCGTGCTGCCTCGTTAGGGGGCCACAGGCGAACCCTACCCCTACCCCCGCACGACTTCTGAGGGGGAGGGTGAGGTTCACCTCGTTCGAGAGCTCCCGAGAGAGGTGAACCCCACGCTCCCCCTCCGAGATGGTGGGGGGTAGGGGTAGGGTTCGCATGCGGCCCCCTAGAGTAAGGGGCGGGAAACTGACCACAGCCACTGCTTTTCTTCTGTTGCCGCCATCCAGCCAGCAGAAGCACAGCAATGGTTTGTGGTCATTCCCACAACCGCTGCCTCTTTCTCGGCCCGCTTGAAGGCGGCGCCAACAACAAGAAGAAGTGGCTGTGGTCATTTTCCCCTCCCGAGGCGGGAGATCTGCTCAGACGGCCCACCCCCTCTGCCTTCCCCCCGTGGGCGCGCCGCCGCATGGAGGCAGCTTGCCTGGGAAACTCTTGGAGCCTCCTGAGAGCCTCCAGGAGGTCATCTTGCTGGTGGTCTTGTGGGTCTTGTTGGCCCCTTGCGACTTCGGGCCCTCCTGGGGCCATCCCGAGGCCGGTCTTGGGGCCAGCTTGGAGCTCCCTTGCGCAGTCTCAGGGCCCTTTTGGGCCGTCTTGGGGCCCTCTTGGGTCGTCTTGGGGCCCTCTCAGTTCTTTTGGGCTGTCCCTGGACACCCTGCAGATCCAGGCGAGCATGCCAAGGTCATAGAACAATTCACATATAGTCAATATATGCTCGCCTCTTGGGGCCGTCCAGTCTCGCCTGACGTCCCCCGCGACCTATCGGAGCGTCCAACACGGCCCAAGAGGGCTCCAATAGGCCTTCAAGATGGCACAATGTAGCCCAACATGGCCTCCAGCATGCCTCCAAGAGACCCCACCGGGACGGCCCCAAGACACTTCCGAGTGGCCACTGAGCCTCATAAGGATGTTCCTGAGAGGGCCAAGAACGCTCTGAGATCGCCCACGGGAGCCACTCGAGGTGAACATAAGCGCTCCAATTCGGCCCCAAAGATCGTCACAGGAAGGCCTCAAGAGGCGTTCCTCACGGCTCCGACGGGGCGCTCCCTGCTTGATCGATTTCCTGCAGGGTAGCCCGAACAAGGCGCCCCAGGCCCCCTAGTGGACCTCAAGAGAGCCCCAAGAGGGCCCCAAGAGAGCCCCGAAGGTCTCCCGAATGATCCCCAAGATGGCCCAAATCAGCTTCCAACAACTCAGGCTGATCCCGAGCTTCGGTTTCACGACTGCCCCCGTTCGTCGTTACACTGCTTGCTCTGCAAATTTCCATGATCACAACAACTCGCCTGTGCATCTTTCTAGATGGGCTGGTGGAGATATGCGCAGCGTCAAGAAACTGCGGAAACAAGCACGGTTGGACGATCCCCCCTACCATACCCAGCTGACATGTACGAGGGCAGATACACTACTATCTGATCATGCCCCTCGGGGCGACCAAGCTGCTCACGATGCCGAAATCATGAACAACCATACAGGTTGTCGAACTTGCACTTTGGGTGCGTCCACGTGATCATGCATGTATGCATGAACCGAACAATCATCACACCAGAGCTGATGTATGTTCCAGGCATAAGGAGGAAACAATCCGTTCAGAAGGACACTGAAATCAGGCACTGGAACATGGAATCGGTTGCTCCCGACCTTTGGGGGATCGGCGTCCTACTTGCGCAATCCAAATGCGTTGAACACGCCCTCTCTGAACATCTCCCTGCCCCTCCTCCTCCTCCTCCTCCTCCTCCTCCTCCTCCTCCTCCTCCTCCTCCTCCTCCTCCTCCTCCTCCTCCCCTCCCCGTCCTCCTCCTCCTCCTCCCCTCCTCCTCCTCCTCCTCCTCCTCCTTCCTCCTCCTCCTCCTCCTCTCCTCCTCCTCCTCCTCCTCCTCCTCCCTCCTCCTCCTCCTCTCTCCTCCTCCTCCTCCTCCTCCTTCCTCCTCCTCCTCCTCCCTCCTCCTCCTCCTCCTCCTCTCCTCTCCCTCCTCCTCCTCCTCCCCCTCCCCCTCCTCCTCCTCCTCCTCCTCCCTCCTCCTCCTCCTCCTCCCCTCCTCTCCTCCTCCTCTCCCCTCCTCGCCTCGCCTCCTCCTCCTTCCTCCTCCTCCTCCTCCTCCTCCTCCTCCTCTCCTCCTCCTCCTCCTCCTCCTCCTCCCCTCCTCCTCCTCCTCCACCTCCTCTCCTCCTCTCCTCCTCTCCTCCTCCTCCTCCTCCTCTCCTCCTCCTCTCTCCTCCTCCTCCTCCTCCTCCTCCATCTCTCCCCCCCCTCCCCTCCTCCTCCCTCCTCCTCCTCCCCTCCTCCTCCTCCTCCTCTCCTCCTCCTCCCTCCTCCCTCCCTCCTCCTCCTCCCTCCTCCCTCCTCCTCCTACTCCTCCTCCTCCTCTCCTCCTCCTCTCCCCCCTCCTCCATCCTCCTCTTGATCAATGTCACTCGTCTCCGCCAACATCCCTTTCCGCCTCCGCATGCTCCCGGCCTCTCCGCTCACCTCCTCCTCCTCCTCCTCCTCCTCTCTCCTCCTCCTCCTCCTCCTCCTCCTCCTCCTCCTCCTCCTCCTCCTCCTCCCCCTCCTCCCCTCCTCCTGGATCCGCCGCGGGAAATTTACGACACATCACATAGTGGAAGACACGTGTCGTTTCGGACGCTTGCGAATAATGGTGCGCGCTCGGTGACAACTGGCATAGCTGCGCCAGGGTTTGGGCGCCCGAGTTATCCGGGGTAATTCAGGCCTGGGGTAACTCGGGCTTGGATTCCCGAAAAACGAACCCGAGTTAGCCCTGACCCGAATTGTCCCTGATGATTTGGGGCTCTGGACGCCCGAGTTATCCGGGGTAACTCGGGCCCGGGGCAACTCGGGTTCGGATTCCCGAAAAACGAACCCGAGTTAGCCCTGACCCGAGTTACCCCTGACGATTCGGGTCTCTGAAGGGTGGCCTCCGCGCCATCCTCTGCCGGCGCGCCGAAGCCGTGCTCCTCCTGCCGGCGTCAGCCTCGCCTCCGGCGCCGGCGCGACGAGCCTCGCCCTCGGTCGCAGCGCCGCGCTCGCCCCCGAGGCAGCGCGCCGCCCCGCTGGAGCGGCCGCCCTCCCTCCAGCCCTTCCCCCGCCAAACCCCCCTCTCATGTGGAAGAGTAGAAGAGACGATACAAAAGAAGCAACACTGTGATAGTGCTGCAATGTTTCCTCGCCCCGCGTACTGAATCTCTCTATCTCAGGTGCATTCACCAGCCCAAACGTGTGTGCGCCCTCCTGTTAGTAGGGCTTGAGCACCGGCCTAAACCAGTGAACACACCTCGTTCCCCTCCTCCTCGCGCGTGGCCGCGGGGTCCCGCGCCGCCCTCGCCGCAGTCGGAACTCACCGCCGCGCTCGGGCGCGAGGGCGGGGCGGCAGCCGCGGCTCGGAGCAGACGCGCCGCAGACGCAGGGCCCCTCGCCGCAGACGAGCCGCGTGGAGGGCCACGTGCAGGCTGTCGCCCCAGGTGCGCGTCCGCCGCTGGGCTTCCGTCCCGCGCGCGCCCGACCTCGGGCGCCAAGTGGGCCCAGCCCCGCCCAGCTCCGGCCCCTCCCGCGAAGCTTCGCTGCTGCAGGCTCGGGTGCTCGGCGCAGCAGTTTCCGACCCTGCGGCCGGCCTGAGCCGAGAAGGCCGAGGAGGAGGAGGACGAGGAGGGAGAGGAGGAGGAGGGACGAGGAGGGGGGGGTTAAGGATTGGGGCTGAGGAGGGCCGAAGGAGGACCGAGTGATAGGGGTGGGGTCCTCCTCGTCCTCCTCCTCCTCCTCCTCCTCCTCCTCCTCTTCCTCATCCATGGTGGGGCTCTCGAGCGGCCCTCTCTGGGCTGCCTGCGCGACTGGAGCCCGTGTTGGGGTCCTCTTGGGGCCATGTTGGGCTCTCGCGGGGTTATCTTGGAGCCTTCCTGGGACAGTTCGGGACGCGTGTGGACCATCATTGGGGCTGTCTTGCGTTGTCTGGGGCCCTCGTGGATCGTCTTGGGCTCCTCTGGAGGCCCTCTGCGGCTCTCTTGGAGCAATCCTGGGCCATCTTGGAGCCCGATTATGGCCCTCATGCAGCGCTCTTTCACTCCTCCGAGGCCCTCAAGTCGCCAGATGTAATCAAACATGAAGAGCCCAATAATCGCCAAAGAAGCACACATCTGCACTGCGGGATCTCTTTGTTTCTCACGGGTTTAAACTGGGTGTCCTTTGGGGGTCTTTTTGTGGCCACCTGGGCCTGAAATCAGCCCGCTACTAGAGCTCCAATCAACTCTTCACATCCTGCAACTGTTTGAGAGATGATGCTGCTCTTCTCCACTGAACAGAGCTAGGCTGGCTACGGTGCTGAGATGTACACCTCCCAATAGAAAATGATAAGCGCCACTTGGCCACCTGTTTGGACGCCCGAAATGGGCACGGGAAAAAATGGTACAATGCCCAACAACAAATGTTGTCCCAAACCAACAGCGGCCGCTGTTGGGCAGGCGGCCTTCTGTCTCGAATGGACACAGGCCGCGGCGACGCCGACCGCGAGTCCTGTTCAGCTTGAACAGGAACTGCTGCTGGGCATTGTACCCATTCTTTCCGTACCCATGTCGTTCGTGCCGAACCTGGGGGCTGCTCGGGTCCTCGCGGAGTCGTCCGACAGCTCGCTCGGCAAACGCTGGCTGGCACGCTCCCTCGCGGCCCCTTGGGGCCCTCCCCTGCCTTCCGGGAACGCCCGGGGCAGGCCCCGGAAAAAGGGGCCAGGATTCGATGTCCAGTGACGGAAGGGTCCTCCTCATCTCCCTGCTCCTCCTCCTCCTCCTCCTCCTCCTCTCCTCCTCCTCATCCTCCTCCTCTTCCTCCGCATCCTCCTCCTCCTCCTCCTCCTCCTCCTCCCCCGCCTCCTCCTCCTCCTCCTCCTGCTCCTCCTCCTCATCCTCCTCCTCCTCCTCCAACGCCGCCTCCTCCGCCTCCTCCTGGGGGGGGAATCCGGGAGGGGGGACCCGCACGAGGGCCCGGACCCCCAGTGCCCAGCAGACGCACGGCATCCAGATCTCGCACGCCCCGCGCGAAACAGACGAAGCACAAGACAGACGGCTCCCAAGCGGCCCCCCAAAGGCGCACTCGATAACCGCCAGTGGCTCCCAGGAGCATCACGGAGGGCTCCCCTCGCCCCGAGTCCCCCGGACAAGCCCGAAACGTTCCGAGACTGCCACATAGCCGCGCCAGAATGCATTAAAGGCAATGACGAAGGGCTCCAAGAAACGAATTTACTCAAGCCCCAAATCTTTCCATCAAGCTTGCCACTGCCTCTATGGGTGTCCTCACCCCTTCTGGGTTGATTCCTTGAGAACCACACCACGTCGCAGACGGGCCATAGAGAGCCACGTAGACTGCCAATGCATGCTAAACACTGCCTCATCGAATGTCGAAAGCATAGACAGACCGCGCGTGCGTGTCATACGTTCATTTCTCAGCGACGCAGGGCTACAAAAGATTAGAGGAGGCACAAGGCTACAACACATTGCAGGGCTACGACGCACACCGTGCAATAGGGCCTCTGCATGCCTCGAGGCGGCACAGGGCTACAAAGTAGATGGATACTATGATCCTGGGTTATAAAAGAAAGCAGGGATGCAGACTCCTGTACTAAATGAAGCTAGCACACGTCGCCGCGAGTGCCTGCCTGTCCTGAAGGGACTCTTGCTGCAACTGCCGCCATGAAGCTGCCATCTTGGGACGTCCTACGCGGTTTCCACTCGGATCCGTGCTCTTCACAGTGTGTCCTGGAATCTCGCAACGCGTAGATCCCTAACCCTCGGTACCCGCCCTCTTCGCCTTCGACCGTACCCCTTCGGGAACACACCTGCCTCACCCGCCACGTGCACTTAGCGCAGCCGCCCAACGCACGGGAAGAGAGGATGGTTGGAAGGGGGAGGGAGAAGGACGGCGCACGAGAGAAACTAGCAGGAGGGGGGGGCTGGGAACAGAGAGCACCTGGCAGCGCCAGGCGGGCACGTCGGGAGGGCAGACCCTGGCCGGCGGGTCCGAAGGCGGGCCTGGGCGGCCAGGTCGAGCATGGAGCGGGCGGGCCGCCGAAGCGTGGGCCCTGCGCGAGTCGCGAGGTCTCGGGCGGCCGCGCGATTCCCAGGCAGACGACGCGAAGAGGCCGGAGCGAGAGCGCGGTTTCCTGAGGGTCGAGGGCGCGGCAGCCGAATCAAGCGCGAGGAAATCCCACGGGGGCGCGCGACTCCTGCACAGAGCGTGCAGAGGTCCCGCGCGATAGCGCGATTTTGGAGCACACTGTGCGGAAGTCTCGGGCGGGAGCCGTGGCTGCTGCAACCCGTGGGTCAGGGGGCCCAGCCTGAACACGGAAGCGTCCCCTAACAAACAGCGGGGTGCGAGCCCCAGGAGGCGCAGTGTACTCGAAACAGATACAATTTGCACCACTGGGGGCCAACAACAAATATTATTATTCAACAGCAACAACAACAATAGCTTTAAGACTGTTCGCCCTTCTATGCTCGAGTGTCCAATAACGCGTATTTCCCAAACCCTCGATACCCGCCCTCTTCGTCTTCGATCGAACCCCTTTTGGGGGGTATACCTTTCTTCCCTGCAGGCTGGGCCCCCGCAAGCGGCGGGGCGGCCGCGGACCGTCGGCCTGGCCAGCGGCAGCGCTGATCGGCGGGGCGGCCGCGGACCGTCGACCCGACCCCAAGAGGGACGGACAGGGGACCGACCACGACGACGACGACGACGACGACGACGACGACGACGACGACGACGACGTCGAAGACGACGGCGTCGAAGACGACGACGGCAACGACGAGCGAAAGCGAGAGCGAGAGAGAACGACAGCAGGGCCACGAAGGAGGCCACGAAGGGCGACACCGGGGACACGAAGGGAATGCGTATGGGGCCACGAAGAGCGCGAACGAACAGGAGCCACGAAGTGCAGATGATGCGGGGCCACAGAAGGCAACTAATTATGGGGCCACTGAGGGTAGCAACTGGGCCACGTAGGACAGTGAGGGGGACACAAATGGCGACAGCGGGGCCACGAAGGGCATGCACATGAGGCCACAACGGGCGCGACTCCTGGGTGCCTGGGTGTCGGGAGCGCGGCGCTTGGGCAAATCGCAGGAAATTCCAACGCAAGGCCATTCTTCAGTAAGTTGCAAGCAAGTCTCCAGCGAGAGCGCGACTCCAGAGCGCCGGGAGAGCGATTCCTGAGTAAACTGTAAGGAAGTCCCAAGCGAGAGCGCGATTCCTGAATTAAATGCGAGGAAGTCTCGGGCGGGAGCGGGGGTCGTGGCTAAATTGTAAGGGGTCTCATGCGGGAGCCGTTGTTGTTGTAACCCGGGGACCAGGGGCCCAGTTTGAGCATGAAGATTATCCCTGTCAAAAAACAGGGTGCGAGCGTCGAGGGGCACACTTTGATAGAGAAAAAACAGTACGCACCGGTGGGGGAGGGATCAACAATAATTACTCTTCAGAAGTGAGAATTCAACAGCAACAGCAACACCACCAACAACAACAATCACAACAACAACAATAAACATGTTAAGACCGTTCGCTCTTACAGGCACGCGTGCCTTGCATTCCGTATACCCCAACCCTCGATACCCGTCTACTTTGTTTTCGATTGCACCCCCTTTCGGGGGGAATCTCTTCCTTGTCGGCCACTGACTAAAGTGCGAAGAAATTTCGAACGAGAATGCCGGTCCTGAAATCGGGGACCTCTCTGGCCGGCGTGAGCTGGTTTCGCCGCCGCTGGTTTCGCCGGCGCTGGTTTCGCACCGCTGGTTTCGCCGACGGTTGCTTTCGCCGGCGCTGGTTTCGCCGCCGTTGGTTTCGCCACGCTGGTTTCGCCGGAGGCTAGTTTCGCCGGCGGTTGGTTTCGCTGGCGCTGGTTTCGCTGGCGGTGGTTTCGCCGACGCTTGACCGAGCACGCTCGAGCCCAAACGGGCGGGTCGGGTCGGGCGGGCGGGCCCTACTGGGCGGGTCGAGTCGGATCGGGCGGGCGGACCCCGACGGGCGGGTCGTGTCGGGCGGGCGGGACATAAAGTGGGGGGCGCTTTCGACTGAGCACGGCGAGCCCTAACGGGCGGGTCGGGTCGGACGGGCGGACCCTAGCGGGCGGGTCGGGCCGGGTCGGGCGGGCGGACCCTGACGGGTGGGTCGGGTCGGGTGGGCGGGACATTAAAGAGTGGGGCACGCTGGACCGAACACGCGCGAACCCAAACGGGCGGGTCGGTCGGGCGGGCGGAGCCTAGCGAGCGGGTCGGGTCGGGTCGGGCGGGCGGAAACTAACGGGCAGGTCGAATCGGGCGGGCGGGACATTAAATTGTGGGGCGCGCTGGACCGAGCACGCGCGAAGCCCAACGGGCGGATCGAGCCGGACGGCAACTGGTTTCGCCAACGGAAGCTGGTCTCGCCGACGGCAGCTGGTTTCGGCGACGGAGCTGGCTTCGCCGACGGAGCTGGTTTCGCTGGGTGGCGAAACCGGCCGGGCGAAACCAGCCGTCGGCGAAACCAGCGGTCGCCCTCTCTCCAAGGGCTCTCGGAATATTTATGGAGAAATATCGAACGGGAGCCCTTGTCGCACCGCTTGGGCCTCCATCGACTTGCCTGAATTGCGGGGCGGTCTCGAGCGGGATCGCCGTTCCTGAGTTCGTGGGCCTTCTTGGCTAGGGGCTTTCGGAGTAAATCGTGGGGAATTATCGAGCAGGGGCCCCCAGTGTCGTGGCTGAGCCTCCACCAAATTGAGTGACTTGCGAAGAAGTCTCGAGCGAGAGCGCCGATCCTGAGTTCGGGGGTGTCTCTGGCCAGGGTGTCTCGGGGTACATCGCGAGGAAATATAGAGCGGGAGCCCTTGTTGTCGTACATGGGCCCCCAAGTGCCCACACCTAGGCTCATGCGAACGCTCGAGCGGGAGCCTCGCTTCCAAAGAACACGCAGCCGGCGCCGAGGCGAAAACGCACGAAACCGCATGCGGAGATCAAGAGTTAGTATCTTGAAATAATCATACAACAACAACAACAACAACAACAACAACAACAACAACAACAACAACAACAACAACAACAACAACGGCAAGAACGACAATCATTGCACCGCAATGCGCCATGCTTCCACATGTCGCACGCATCCTGCTGGATATCGCACCCCATCATAGGGGTGTTTCTGGCACGCGGGGCCCGAAACTCCCTTGCCCAGATCTCCCGCCCAAGAAAACACCGCCGCCACTTCATCCGAGGAACCTCGACATCCACAGCTCGGACGGCACATCGCCATCGCCATCGCCTTGCGCACGCCCCGCACTTCGGAGGAGGAGGCGGAATAATACGAAGAGGGGAGGGAAGCTGAGGGAGAAGAGAAGAGGAGGATAATGGAGGAGGAGGATGGAGGAGGAGGGGGAGGAAGGAGGAGTAGTTGTAGTAGCAGTACCTTCCGACGACGAGGTGGTTCTTACTCCTCGTTCGAACTGTGACATCACCATCCTGCGGCCTCGGCGCGTGACCCTGAACGTTCACGCCCCCAGGCGCTGCCGCTCCCATGCTCGCATCCTCCACCTGCCCCATCCACTCTCTCTCTCTCTCTCTCGCTCTCTCAAGGAATCCCTGAAGTCAGTCCTTCGGCCCTCGATCCTTGGAGTCCCTGGAAGTCATCCGTCCTCCTTTTTCTCCTCCTTCTCCATAATATCTACGCTCTCCAAAGATGACAGTTATTTAAGAATCAAGGTTCAACAGGGACTCTTGGAAGCCCCCCAGAGGCGATGCCGAGACGAAGGCCCCCAGTCTTGAGTAAAAGGTGAAGAAGTATCAAACGGGAGCGACGAGGGAGGACGGAAGGGGAGTGGAGGAGGGGGGGCAGAGGGGCAGAAGGAGGGAGGAGACAAAGGAAACGAAAAAGGGAAGGAGGAGGGATATGGAGGGAGGAAAGAGGGACGGGAGAAGGAGGAGGGACGAGGGAGATGAGGAGGGGTGGAGGGAGGAAGAGGGAGGAAGAGAGAGGGGAAAGGAGGGAGGGAGGAGGAGGAGGAGGAGGAGGAGGAGGAGGAGGAGGAGGAGGAGGAAGAGGTGGAGGAGGAGCAAGAGGAGGAGGAGGGAGGAAGGAGGAGGGAGGAGGGGGGAGGAGGAGGAGGAGGACGAGAAGGAGAGGAGAGGAGGAGGAGGGGGAGGAGGATGACGAGAAAAAGGAGGAGGAGGAGAAGGGGGAGGAGGAGGAGGAGGAGGAGGACGAGGAGCTCGGCAACGGCTACAAAGGTGCCACCACATTAAACATGCATCAAGCAAGCTCCAAACGAGTTAGGGGGGGTCAAAATCCTCCCCGGGCGGCACAACCTGCCGGCGGCGCTCTTGCGCTCGAAGCCCGAGCGACTCCGCCTCTTCCCGAGAGCGGAAGCCAAAAAGTGACAGGCCTCGCAGAAGGTCGACCCCAGTCCCCGTCCAAGCACACCCACCCCCGCCCGACATGGACGCAAGAGAGCCTCTGGACAGAGGCGGCGCTAAGGAGGAGGAGGAGGAGGAGGAGGAGGAGGAGGAAGAGGAGGTGGAGGAGGAGGAGGAGGAGGAGGAGGAGGAGGAGGAGGAGGAGGAGGAGGAGGAGGAGGAGGAGGAGGAGGGAGGAAAAAGGGGGAAAAGGATGGAGGAGGACGAAGAGGAGGAGGAGGACGAGGGGGAAGAAAGGGTGGAGGGAGGACGAGGGAGGAAAGAGGGACGGAGGAGGGAGGGGGGAGAAGAGGAGGGTGTGGAGGAAGGAAGAGGGAGGAAGAGGGGGGGGGGGGACGAGGGGGGAGGAGGAGGAGGAGGGAGAGAAGGAGGAGGAGGAAGAGGAGGATGAGGAGGATGAGGACGAGGAAGGGGAGGAGGACGAGGAGGAGGAGGAGGAGGAGGAGGAGGAGGAGGAGGAGGAGGACGAGGAGGAGGAGGAGGAGAAAAGGGCGCCAATCCAGCGTAAAGCAGGAGGAAATCTCGGGCAGGAACGCTGGTTTGGTCGGGACGGGGGCTGTCCGCGGCGAACAAGACCACCGCCTTGAATAAGAACTGGAGGAAGTCTCGAACGGGAGCGCCGTTGCCGCTGGGGGGCGGCGCCGATGAGAGAAAGAGTAGCGCGCCTGTCCAAGGTAAAACGGGAGGGACTCTCGAGCGGGGGCGCTGGGTTTGATGACGCGGCTGCTTTCGGCGCGAGCAAGAGCGCCGGCCCTGAGTAAATTACGATGCTTCTGGGGGGGTTCGGATTTTGGCGCGGTTGCACCGGTCTATGGGGGGGGTCCCAGACAAGCCGTCAAACACTTTTTTGACCCCCCCCCAAGTATTATGAGATTTGGAGTACTCACTACGTGGAGCTCCCCATACGCGCAGCTGTTTAATGGGTAGTAATGTATTTGAAATATTTAAATGAGCGTCTAGCCATATGAGCCATATGTGCATCTCATATTGTAGGTAGTGTTATGGTGGACATATGTCTAATATAGTTTTGTTCTAAGACCGTGTCTACGTGAGCGACGAACACACGCGCGCGCAGCTCGGTTGCACATCCAACGCGTGCATATGTTCATCCGCAAGCATATATCAGCGCATCTGTTTTGTCAAAGCAAAAAACTCACTGGCACTGCGTCGCAAGCGCCACGGCAGAGGTCATTCTCTTGTGCCGTCCACACCAAGATGGGGCTACCTAGTAGAAGGATCCACTGAGGAATTCACGCGGGGTGCGGTCCGCACTTGGCATCGGGCCATGTTTGGGTGAGCGCCTAAGAGAAACGCAGGATGATAGGGACAAAGTGAATATGTTCGCGCATTGGCCGTCCGCACTGGGAGTCGGACCAGGTTTGGCTCAGCGCGACGGCAAGGAAATAGCTGAGCGCGAGGACACAAGAAAAACAAGCAAACAGCTGTCTGCACTGGGCGTCGGGCTTTGCAGTGCCAGGCAAGCGGCAGAGGGATCTGGGCAACGAAAACGCCCAGAGAGTGAACCTTGTCAAGTTCCCTCTCCACTTCGACCACAAGCGGGAAAGTGAACCTTTTCAAGTTCCCTCTCCCGCAGCTAGAGAGTGAACCCTTTTTCAAGTTCCCTCCCCAACCCAAAACGCACGCGGGAAAATGAACATTCTCAAACTCCTTTTCACGGCGACGACAACAAGATTGGACAACACCGCGGAAAGAGAAAACAACATCCCACGGTGACACGAACTCTGCGCCAGCAACACCTGGTCACTCTTCCTTGACCGCCGCGCGCAACGGGGAGAGCCACTCGGGACACAACGCAAAAACAGAAAACTGGCAAACCGCTAGAGACAGCCCCGCAAAACGGCAACGAACGGAGACGTGAAAGCACCCTTGGCGGCTCCCCTCAGGTAGCTGAAACCAGCGCCCCGCCGGAGACATCCTCACAATCTGCTCTCCAAGCGAAGGCTATTGAGACACAAAACAAGCAAACCGCTTAAGACATCCCCACCAAACGGCCGCGAACGGGACCGCGTCATGCCCCCCGGCGGCTCCCATTAGGGGTACTGAAACCAGCGCCCCGCCTGAGACATCCTCACAATCCGTTTGCTATCCAAACGAAGGATTTTTTGGACAGAAAACAAGCAAACCGCTTGAGGCATCCCCACGAAACGGCCGCGAAATGGACCGTGTCATGCCCCAGGGTGGCTCCTCTTAGAGGTGCTGAAACCAGCACCCCGCCTGAGACATCCTCGCAATTTGGTGTGTTGAATAATTCAAACAATGGGAAGGTCTGAGTATGAGTAGTTCTGGGCATGAATGAGTCTCAGCATGAGTAAGTCTGAGTACGCGTAGGTCTGAATATGAGTAGGTATGAGTACGAATAAAATAATTCCCGTCTGAATATGAGTAAGTCTGTGTAAGACTATTTATGTATATGATTAAGTCTAGGTATGAGGAGAAGAAGAGGAAAGAGGAGTAGGAGGCGTCCAAATAATAACAAGAACCCCATTTTAGGATATGTGTAAAACAAAAAGTCTCGAACGGAGGGCGTCGTCGCCGCTGGGGAAGGCGGGGGGGGGGGGGGGGGGGCGTCTTGGCGGCCCCCCAAACCGCTTGAGAGGGAGCCTCATTTTCACTGAGAATGCAACTGGCGCCCCGGCGAGAGCGCCAGGGCGCCTGAGAGGGGTCCGACAATGACAACTGTCTAGTAATCCACATTCAACGACAACGACCACAACGACAACAAAAACGACAACGACAGCGACAATCATGTTACCGTCATGCGCCGCGCTTCCACACGTCACGTGCACCCTTCTGGATGCCACGCCTATCACTGGGGATTTGCCGGGCGCGCGGGGCCCGAAATTCCCTCGCCCAGATCCCCCGCCCAAGACAGCGTTGCCGCCGCTTCTTCCGAGGAGCTTCGACATCCACAGCTCGGGCGGCACGTCTCCATCGCAATCGCCTTGCGCGCGCCCTGCATCTCGGAGGAGGGGGCAGAGGGCGAGGAGGGGGGGGGAGATGGGGGAGGGGAAGAGGGAAAGGAGGAGGAGGATGGAGGAGGAGGAGGAGGCGGAGGAGGGGGAGGAAGGACGAGTACTTGTAGTAGCAGTACCTCCGAGAACGAGGTGGTTCTTACTCCTCGTTCGAACTGTTACGCCACCATCCTGCGGTGTGGCGCGTGACCCTGAACGTTCACGCCCCCAGGCGCTGCCGCTCCCATGCTCACATCCTCCACCTGCCCCTCCACATCCTCTCAAGGAATCCCTGAAGTGAACCCTTCGATCCTCGATCCTTGGAGCCCCTGGAAGTCATCCGTCCTCCTCTGAAATTATTTTTCTCTCCCAAAAACGATAGTTATTCGCAAATTAAAATTCAACCGGGACTTTTGGAAACCCCCCCGAGGCGATGCCGAGAATAAGGCCCCAGTTTTGAATAAAAGGTGAAGAAATATCAAACGGGAGCGACGAGGGGGGACGGATGGGGAAGGGAGGAGGGAGGAGGGAGCAAGGAGGCAGGAGGAGGGAGGAAACAAGGGGGACGAAAAGGGAAAGGAGGAGAGAGGAGGAGGAGGAAGGAGGAGGGAGGGAAGGGAGACGGGAGAGGGAGGAGGGAGAAGAGGAGGGGGTGGAGGGGGGAAGAGGAAGAGGGAGGGAAAGAGAGGGGGAAGGAGGGGGGAGGAGGAGGAGGTGAAGGAGGAAAAGGAGGAGGACAAATAATAAGAACAAGAGAGGGAAAAAGAAGAGGAAAAAGAGGAGGAGGAGGACGAAGAGGAGGAGGAGGAGGAGGAGGAGGAAAGGAAAGGAAGGAAAAGGGGGGAGGGAAAAGGAGGGAGGAAAGAGGGGCGGAGGAGGGAGGAGGGAAAAGAGGATGGGGTGGAGGAAGGAAAAAGGAAGAAGAGGAGGGAAGGGGGAGGAGGAGGGAGGAGGAGGAGGAGAAGGAGAAGGAGGAGGAGGAGGGAGGAGGAGGAGGAGGAAAAGGAGGAGGAGGAGGACGACGAGGACGAGGAGGAGGAGGAGGAGAAAAGGGCGCCAGGCCAGCGTAAAACGGGAGGAATCTCGGGCGGGAGCGTTCGTTTTGCCGGGACAGGGGCTGTCGGCGGCGAGCAAGAGCACCGCGTTGAGTAAAAAAGGGCGGAAGTTTCGAGCGGGAGCGTTGTTGCTGGGGGGCGGCGCCGATGAGAGAAAGAGTAGCGCGCCTGTCCAAGGTAAAAGGGGAGGAAGTCTCAAGCGGGAACGCTGGTTTTATTGAGACGGTTGCTTTCGATGGTGAGCAGGAGCACTGGCCCTGAGCAAAAAAGGAGGAAATCTCGAACGGGAGCGTTGTTGTTCTTGGGGGGCCGGTTTTGGCGGCCCCCCAAACCGCTTGAGAGCAAACCTCATTTTCAATGAAAAATGCAGCCGGCGCCTCGGCGAGAGCGCCAGGGCGCCTGTAAGGGGTCCAACAATAATTCGCCGGCCCAACGGGCCAGAGGCATGCGAAGATCTCCGGCGACTGGTTAACAATATTTCTAGTTCGCGCGCGCGGAATGGCCCCTGGGGGCCCCCAGACGAAAAGTGCCCCAGCAAGGTCCCGGGAGAAACCACCAGAGCACTCCACGGGAGGGCCATTTTTCGACACCCATCACGAGTACCGTGGCCTCCAAGGGGGGAGCCGCAATCGACTACCCCCCCTTCCTCCCCAAGAGGCCCCCAAAAGCCCCCCAAGAGGCCTTTGGGGCCCCCAAGACGCCACCGAGGAGCCCCAAGAGACTCCCAAGAGTCCCCCAAGAGGCCCTAAAGAAGGTTCCAAGGCCGGCGGAATGAGCGAAGCGATTAAATAATTGTTTAGTAATTAACATTCAACAAGGGAAAAGAGGACGGGTGGAAGGGGGAGGGGGGACGGTTGAGCACGAGAGAAATTAGCAGGAGGGGGGCAAGGAGCAGAAAACAACTGGTAGCACCAGACGAGCAGATCGGGTGGGCAGACCCATAGGGCAGGTCGGGAAGGCGGGCCCAGGCGACGAGGTCGAGCAGGCGGGTTGCTGAAGCGTGGG